AGATGAGACAAGTTTTAAATATTTACAATAGCCGTAAACAAAAAGGTTTGGGAAACCACTCCCCCGAAGAAATGAAAAACAACCCCGACTTAGAGAAAGACTATATATTTAATAGTTTAGTCAAAAGAGACAAACAAGAAAGAATGCCAGGCTTCAAACTTAAGAAAGGTGACAAAGTAAAAATAGAAATACCTAAACGCGACCCATATGAAAATACTATTGACTATGACAACAATGGGAACTCGACAGGTACTCACATTCGTGTTCGTAAAAATAGAAGAAAGTATACAAGAGAATATTATGAAGTTTTAGGCAAACATGGCAAAATGTACAGACTGCAAGCAGAAGATAAAACTACTATTGTCAGACCTCGTTTCAAACTTGTCAAAGTTCAAGGTGGTATACTTTCAAAGACAGTTCCTAACAAATATAAGACAACTCCTGACGAATATGCTAAAGAAGTTGAAAATGACGACTAAGCAATTCTATACCATGCGTAAACTGTCATGTAAGGTGGCATGTAGTCTTTACTTTGTCCCGTTGTTTGTGTATATCCTGTAACGCGATGTGTATGGTTTCCATCTCCCTGAGTGTCACTCCAGTAACAATTTATAGCAAACTGAACGTCGTCTTTAACATCATATCCTTTACCTTTTTTCAAGGCGTGCCAATCCCAAAATTTATGCTTATGCCAACCTGCTTGAGATGTACTTAAATCTACGTAGTGACTGTGTGCAGGTAAATTTTCACCTGAAATCGTTTTACTTCCACCTGTTTCCTTTGAAGAGTTTGCACAATACAAAAACCTGTCGACTATTTGAGTCCAAGTTCCAAAACCCAGAACTGTTTCTGGTCTGGTAGAGTTCATTGACGTATAAATAGAGCCTATAGGATATACTGTTTGAAGTATTTCTGTCTTTAACGTTTGAAGCTCTGTTTTGTCAGCTTTCTTATCTAACTCATCGTTAACATATGTTTTGTCAGCTTTTTTATCTAACTCATCGTTAACATATGTTTTGTCAGCTTTTTTATCATATAAATCTTGAGCAGTGAATTTAACTTTGTTTTCATCCTCCATGACATAGACATTTCTACATCTAATGTATCTCATCGTTGTTATGTCTTCATCCGATGTTAAACCTTGTGGAAAGTTAGGAGGTTTCCAATTTAATACATCCCCACCAGTTCCATCAGCTCCTTCAACCGTTCCTTCAATATTTTCTATACCAACAGTTGCGAAGAAATCGTGTGTATGTCCAACGTCACTTTTCCTGTTTAAGGTTTCTTGTAAGTTTGTAATATTTGCAATGGTATGTGTATGAGTCTTTTTAGAATATTCTTTGTCAGCTCTTGTCACTTCACTTGACATTTTATTGTCAACATATGTTTTATCTGCTTTGTCATCTAACATTGCTGGTAGTTCATCTACGTCATAGATGTTATGTGTATGATGTTTTTGTGGGTATGTTCTATCTGTCCATGCGAGAATATAGTCTCTTGTTGCATCTACATACTCTTTGTCAGCTTTGTTGTCAATATCTGCCTTCAAAAGAAGTTCATCTATAGGTTTCTCGTTTAAAGTTCTTTTTGTTGGATTTATACAAACAGTATGGTTCTTACTGTCTTGAAACAGAAACTCGTCTGTCAATGGGTTTATCGTCAGTTTTAAGTTTCCTTCTTTCAATGACTCAGATATCTTAGAATAGTTTGAAAAGTTTGTTGTGTTCTTATTTAGAGCTTGCACAATGAGTTGTCGGTTGTGTTGTATTTCTCTCATAGACGCTGTTTCTTTCGACATTTTTATTCTAGATAAAATATGCTTTCAATAGAAAAAGAAAATTCAAGAGTTGCTACAACTAAACCATTAGATGAACTTTTTACTAATGTCGGTCAAAAGTTTGAGACAGAGACCGTAAAGCATGAAGGCTATCGTTTTGACTACCCACTTAGATGGTTAAGAGACCCATCCGTCACAAAAGCTATTGGCTTTCGTAGAATGAAGTTCATTTCAGAAGCCATACATGGTTTCCCATTTACGGTCGGTTTTGAAGTTCGATACTATAACAAAGAAAAACGTATGTATGAGAAATTTGAACAGGGAAAACTTTTACAAGTGAATTTGCTTGTAAACTTAGAAACAACTCTTCAAGCTTTTCAAGAAAAAATAAACGATATCTATATCGAATATGCAAACCAGTATAACATTGACGAGGGAGAGTACCATCTCGATATTATTTATGACAGAAAAAATGCAACTGTTAAAATCAATAGAATAGAAGACCTTGGAGAAAACGTTTATATTTCTACAAAATATAACAACTTGGCATGGTATAGATTTATGAGGATGTTAAATCAGCCTGCAGCATATCCAGTACACCCAGACTTTTATGAAGTCGAAAACCCTAATGGAACATATGAAAATGTTTTCGACTCAGATGCTATTATAGTTCATGCTTCATTTTCTGGTGCACAAAAACTTTTTTATGCTTGGCAAATGACTTTTACGAAAAACCTACAAAGCTATATGAACCACCAAGTGGAAGTATTTCAGACTTTCAAGTATGGTTTACTACAGATGGAAGAAAGAGAATAATTCCATTATACCACGCGTTTTACTTAGAACTTAGTTTCATATACAACTACTATCGAACGGTAAAAATATAATTTTAATACGGTTGAGGTGTTGGATTTGGTTGCCAACTAGACTGTGGTGCAGGTTCAGGCTGTTGTATTACAGGAGCTTGTTCTTCTGGTTCAGGGTCTTTAGGTATAATACCAACGAACTGACCTACTCTTTTACCAATATTTTTGACTCCGTTCCAAATTCCTCTTCCGACAGATTTTATTCCATTCCATATACCTCTTCAACATTTCGAAAGAAGTTTCCTATTCTTCCAAAGAAACCCATTTTACTATATGTAAAAATCTAATGTCCGCCTAGTCTCTTACGTTTCCTGTTGAGTTCCATAGCATTCTTTAACTGGAGCTCATACATTCTGTTTCTCCTCTGGTAGAAAACATATTCTGGGTCAACTCCTGTGTTCGCGTCATCTGCATAAAGTTGTTTATATCCCACTTCAGGGTTTGTATAAAACTCTTTCCATCTCATATTTGCATACCATGGTGGCAAACCTAACGCAGCGTCATTTGACATGGCAGTTTGCATTTGTACATCTGTTGGCACTTGACCATAGTTTGCCATTGCAGTTTGTATTCTAACTTCATTTGGAATATTCTCTGGGTTTGGTTGTCCAGGTTGCTGTGCATTCGCTAAGTTCTGTGCGTCCATTTAATATTAGATAAAAATATCTCTTACGAGTACATATGCTGAACATTTGCTGGTATTGGTTCATCTTCATATTCTCTGTACTTTTCTGCCACGTCAAATAAGTAAATGACACAATGGAAAAAACCTAAAACAAGTAGTCCTATTTCAAACCACATTTACTTACTAGTAAAATTTCTTTGTTATGACACTTTCTCCAGTTTATAGGACCTCTCTCATATTCTATCTTATCGTATCTAAACTCATAGTCATGTATGTCCTCTAACCATCTCATGACACTTTCCAAACCACTTTTATCGGATGTAAAGTAAAAGCATGGATGGTTATGTAAAACGTCTAAAGTTTCTAAAGAGTCTCTCAAAGTCCAGTCTACTTGGTATTGAAAATCCCATGTGTTATAGAACGGCGGGTCCACTATAAAGAAAACATTTTCCTTGTCTTTATATTTTTCATACAACTCTGTCCAATGACATCTCACAAACTCTATACCCTCAATATATTTTTCTATGTTCTCTTTGAAAACATTTGTATAGTTAAGATATAAAACTTTTGACATAAGTGTTTCAATGTCATGAACTCTTATAGCACCACTATATAATAGTCTAGCAGATATACTATCCCAGTCAATATACTCTGCCTTTTTCAAAACCTCTCTGACAGTATTTTTCTTATCTAATGGTATACGTTCCATCTTACCTATAGGTATCTTTTCTTTTAACTCTTTCAATATTTTGTTTGTGTCTGGTATATGTTTGAGACGGTTCATATAGTTGTCGAAGTCATTGCATATAATCTTTGAGTCAGGAAATATTGTATGGCACAAATGAGATATATAGAAACTTCCACCGAACAAGTCTACAAATGTTAGACCATTCGGTAGTTTCTTAAGTTCTCTCAATAGAATATCTTTACATCTACTCTTATTTCCAAAGAAGGGTAACGGTGGTTTTGTAAAATTCATTTTATATATATAATAAAAATGTTTTTACCTGAAAAAGTGACAGAAAAGTGACGAAACATGAAAACATATATATTTTGTGAAAAGCTCCTGGAAGACCCATATATAAGAACTTCATTTATACTAAACATCTTCGGGGCTAGAGGGCACGAAGTGCCTGGAAGCCCCACTACCTTTTTTTTTTTTTTTTTTTTTTTCCAGCACTCTTATATCAATACAATAAATTTTTAAGGGAGGCTTCCGACCAGAAAGCTCTCTCAATTTTTTGTGATGTTTACACCAAAAGTGAGATTCGTTAAGCGTTTTTCTCGTTGAATATTGAGTTTCCCGGATTTTGAGTTATTCATAAAGCTCCTCTATATTATACCCTATCTACTGATATGATTATTTTTGAAAAATCTCTTAAATCGACCTGCACTGAATTTTTTAGGGAAAATTCGAAATTTTCTAGGCGTTTTCTGTAACGTTTTTTTACGGAATAAAATCCGAAAAATAATTTTTTGAAGAATCATTTGGGTAGAATACTTATCGAAAATTATATTTATTATAATTTTGGTCGATAAAAATAAGCGGATTCAAAACTGGCAAAAACCCTTTCGGCAATTTGTGGACGATTCCGAACCCCCTCATTTTTGAAATTTAATAAGAAAAATAGAATCTTTATTAAATATAGATTTTAAAAAACTTGGTTATAAATTACGAAATTTTCTCACTTGGGCTAAAAAGTGACAATTTGGTCGGAAGCCACCCTTAATTCTATTTTCTATGAGGAATAACAAATTCTAATATCGACACAGCTTCATCGAGAACATCTTTTGATAAATCTGATAATCCTTTCGAAATCATGATTAAACTTGCGATTTCGATGAAAATGTTCAAGTCTGTTTGCGACATTTTCTGATTTGAGTGGAATATTTGGACCATTCTTGAAACAGCTGAGTCATAACTTTCTTTCGGAATTTGATCAAGGTGAACTTGGCTAAATCTTGCTTGATCGACATACGTTCGAATCAATGCGATATCTTCATCGCTGAAATTAATAGATTTTCCAGTACTGAGCTCACAGGGAGCGTGAACATCGCAATCAATTAAAGATCTTGTTGTAGAAAGGACAAGCGATGGGTAAGAAACATCTACTTTGATATCGTAGTAATGCTGGATCTTCATTGATTGGAAATTGACCAATTCGTTTATTAAACGAAGATTTTCTGCTCCAACTTCATTAAGATTTCCTTCTGTAAGCTGTGTTTCATCAAATACGTATCTGTTGTTATCAAATGACCAAATTGGAGAGCTTTTGTAGGTTTCATCGTCAATTACTGGTTTAAGTTGCTTCTGGTTCAAATTATCAATAGAACATGTATAGTATACTACTGATGTACATATTTGTTGGAGGAATTGAATGATTTCTGGTATTTTTTCTGGATCAATTCCAAATAAATTCAAAGAAAAAGAGCCAACAAGCTGTGCACCAACGCGAGAACGTACTCTAGACACAAGCCAAAGAAGGACAAGCTCGGCAGCCTTTGGATCAAATACAGTTTTCAAGGCATCTAAAGTTAATTGCCTTCCTTTTTGTAATTGGTCGTTTTCCAAGACTTTATTGTCATAAATATAGGATACAGGGACAGTATGTAATGCGCAGAATGATGGAACGTATGAAGAAATCGCAGAAAATGGAGAAACACTTTCATCTAAAACAGGTTCTTCGAAATAGCCGATGATATCAACCATATTAGATAGTTTGAATAATTTCTCGTTCTGATTTAAGTCTCTGACTAATACTAACACTGGTTCATCAGAATGATCGTGACATTCTTTGCATTTGGTTGGTTTTGTAGGGGCAGATGGCTTTTGATCTTTCAGATATTCTTTTACCCACTCATTTTCAATATTAATTAACTCAACAAGAATCTGAGATGCGTCTGCAACGTGGAACTTCATATCTGGTGTTTCATTCACTAGCATATCCTCAACAACCATATCTTCTGGTATTTTTGATCGCGCAAGATATGAATAATTTCCATTTGCAGTTTCAATTAATCCAGGAACAACTATTCTATCATTGTATGATCGCATAACAGCTCTAATACGGACTAGTTTCTCTGGTGGGCACATATGAACTTCTGAAAGATTTGTAACAAGAGGAATCTTTTTAATAATTCCTTGATTATTTGAAATAACATTGCCTAAATCTTCAGAAATTCCAAAATCAGGAAGATCTGTCCTTGCTTGAATCCTTTCTTGAATGAAATCACAAGGAGATTCGAGAAATTTATCGAAATCGAATTCAGACATTTTAATTTTTAAACGGGCACTTTTTCAAATTAATTGTTAGAAGAATTGAGTTCTACAAATGCAAGCATATGAGTTTTGATGCGAATTTACACTTTTTGATTAATTAATTTCATTAGAGATATCAGTTTATCAAATTTTATATATAAAAATTTATCATTAAATGCTCATACGGTAAATTGCATTTTGTTTAAAAAGGATAGAAGGCATTGATTGTGCATTGTTTGGTTTAAAATATTTCATATAAAAATAATAATATTAATTTTTTTTAGTAATCTATAAAATTTATCAGAATAAATATCAGGCTTTTAATAGTCTAAAGGATCGAAGTTATAACAAACAAGGGAAAGGTTGCAACTGAATTATTCGATTGCTAATTCGTTGATTGTCTGTTCAATGAGTTCAATTGATGGCAATGTAGTATTAATTAATTTTTTGAGGAACTTTGGTCCTCTTGCTTTTGCTGTGAAGACCATATATTGACCATCAGTATCAAAAATGGATGTAGATTCGTCTGGCTTCAAGTCATCGCTTGCCAAAAGTGAGTTAGCCGCAATTCTAGCATATTCGGATGTTTTGAAGTCAAAACGTAATTCTGCAAAATAAGGAAAATCTTGACTCATAATTTTTTTTTCCTCTAAAAAAAAATTAGTCAATAATAAATTATGCAAGAAAAATACGACAGACAGATTAGACTTTGGGGAGAAGCAGGCCAAAGAGATATTAACAATGCAATAGTTATATCGCTTGGCTCTGGATCTGTTGCTTCTGAGTTTTTAAAGAACTTAGTTCTTCATGCTGTTGGAAAAATCATTATTATAGATGATGCTGTTGTTACAGAGCAAGATTTGCATGACAACTTCATGATTGAGCCTGATAGTCTTGGCAAACCACGTGCAGACGAAATGGCAAGATTATTGAACGAACTCAATCCAGACCCACAAATTATTACAATTCATAAGTCTCCAAATGATATGGAAGCCTTAAATGAGCAAACTATCAATGAGGATGCCTTCATTGTCACTTACAATAATCAATCCACAGAATTCTTAGAGAAACTCTCAGATTTTGTAAGAGAACATCAAGCACGCCAAGTTCACATACAAGCTTGTGGCTTTATGGGCGCTATTTACCTTGATTGTAAAAATCATTATTCTTTCGAAGGTCCTTCACCGAACACCTTGTTCTGGAATGACTTCAGAATTATTAATCCTTTTCCAGCATTGAAAGAATTTTTCGATAGCTTTGATCTCGAAAAAATACCAATCGAATTACATGCAAATCTTCCGTTTCCTGTTATCCTTTACCATGCCCGTAACAGGTACATTGAAAAGACGGGAAAGCAGCCAGAATTTTCAGAATTTCGTCGTTTCATCAAATCTTTGGAAAGAGACGCAGATAAAGAAAACAGTATCGATACAGCCTATGAGAACAGCGTTTTAGCCCTTAACGAGTACCTTCCTCCAAATACAGAGAGTTCATTTTCAATTGTAGACGATTTCCCAGAAAATGACCCATTCTGGAGACTTGTCCGCTCAGCGAAAGCCTTTTATCAGAAGCATGGCGCAATGCCTCATAGCGGAGAAATTCCAGATGTAGAAACAACGCCAGATCTTTATGCCACCCTCAAAAAACTTTACAGAGAGAAGTCTAATGAAGACTGGCAAGAAGTTTTCCAAGGAATGTATGATATTCCAGAAGATTTCAAGAATAGATTCAAAAAGAACATTTGGAGAATCAAAGGAAAGAAGTATCCACCACTTAAGGAGTCGCTCAAGCAGATTTCAGCCGAAAATGACTTCATTCACGATCAAGAAACAAATGATTCACTTAATGCCATCCAAAACGTCTTCATTTCATCAAGAATGTTCTTTACTAAATCAGGAAAAGTTCCAAAGTTGTCAGATATCGATGAAATCAAAACAATTTTGAAAGAAATCGGAGCTCCACAAAATGAAAGTTTGAATCAAGTCACAGAACATATTCTTCAGTTCCAAGGAGCTGCTTTACCTTCAGTTGTTTCTACAATTTCTGCTTTTGCCGCTGAAGAGGTTACAAAAGCAATTATTAGACAACAGATCCCAATTGATCCTGTTTTTATTTATGATGCAGTCCATGGTCAAGCAACAAATCCTAAAATGTAATTTTTCTTGAGTAAATCTTGATTTTTTTAAATTTTTTTTTATCAAAAAATGATTATTTCTATAAATGTTCAATCCTATTTATGATCATACCCAAATACCCTAAAATTATCAAATTGTTCATTGTATAAAATAGATATAAAATTTTATTGTTATTTATTTAAGCCAACTCTAGATCATATGATACGAGAATGAGAAAGCCTTTGAGAAAAAAAAATAGTGTGTATTGAAAAAGATCTAATTTTTACAATTCAATATTATGGCTTACTGAACATGAAAGGAATTAAAGATGAAAAGCATACATTTCCGTATATTAGCTCGATTGAATGGCATTCGAATATATGTAAGCTAGTAATTCTAATGAATCCATCTCCGATATGTCCTTTTTCAGTTCCTCCAGTCGGATCAGGCATCTCATTCATGCCATCTATCATAACAGTCTTTATAAACTGATAACCACTGAAATGGATCGAAGGATCATAAGCTTGGGAAAACTCATTTTCGTTTTCAGAGAAATTTTCCAGAACGGCGATACAACCTTTGTGGCCACTTATGAAAGAGCTTCCCCCACCGCCTCCATAGTTTCCCGTTTTATTGGAGTTTCCGCCTCCAAAATAACCACCTCCTCCACCGCCATTTCCATCGATATTATTTATAAAAGTTCTATTTCTGTCACCAGCTCCGAAACCAAATCTTCCATGTAAACCTTTTCCTTGGCCGCCTGCAGTTTGATTTGCACCAAGACCGTAATGATATAAAGAATCGTAGCCTTGCAAACCGCTACCAGCACCACCATAATCAATTAAATGATTCTTATCTGAATCTGCAGAACCTGCCCCAGCAGCAACAATAATTCGACTCTTTAATCCCTCAAAATCACCGAAATCACCGCTTTTAAGCCTTATGTCGGAGGACCCTCCTCCAGAGAATTGCCCTGGGCCTCCACCTCCGTAAGCTGGTAAGCCGGCATATGAGTAATACTTTGATCCAACGTGCAAGTATAGTTTAATATCATTATAGAATGTTATTTCACCTTTGACGTACCCGCCTGTCGAATTTCTGTTGCCAGATCCTCCCCATAATTCAAAAATGTAAACACCTGGTTTAAAATCAACTTCGTAAGGCGATGAACTATTTGGACTATCTGAATTATATGCATATAATTTGGTTGACATCTCTGAAAGTTGAGGAAATCTATAAGGAAATTACATTATGAACTTTGAATAGGCAGTGAATATTTCAATTGAATTGGATTTTTCGATGTTGATTGTTCATTAATTAACCCTGAAATAATGAAAATCATGACATTTTCGGTCATTCATAAAACAATGTTCTCAAATTTTTGTGAAATTCAATGGTTAGAAATAATGAATTGTTATAGTTCATGTTATTTCGATTGAAATCCTTCTTCACACCTCAATGGCATTATGATGACCTTCCAAATGATATATTGGAGGGGTTTTTCAATAGCTCACCCTCTAATAATTTGATTAAATGTGAAAATTGTTTAGTAAAATATAAAAACAATGAATGCTTTGTATATAAAAGTTCATTTGTCGACTTATCAAATAGAGCGATTACGTTTGAATCTGTTTCATCATTAAAATTTCTTCATTCAAAAACATATTTTCGAAATTGTTCCATGATTTCCGATGGAAATGGTGGATCAATCTATGTTACTGGATCTGGAACCATTATTCAGCATCAATTTTGCTGTTATCGCAGTATGATAAAGTCTGAATTCGGAGTTTTCACTTACTCTCCCCTTGACTCATTATCATTTTCATATATTGTCGAAAGCTCATTATACAATTGCGGAAATCCGAATTTTGGGGATAGTTCATTAAGAATTTCAGAAGGGACTGCAGGTTTTACCTATTCTAATGCTAGTAAAAATGCAATAATATGAAATGCTGTATATTGCATTCTATCTATGGATTTTAAAACCAAAGTTAATTTTTCAGCTTTTGAAGGAAATAACGCAACGAATGGCAATTCACTCCTTCAAAACTATCAATCTATAGATTATAGATATTGCAATATCATCAACAATTTTCAAGCATTAGCAAGAAGGGGAATTATTGCCGTAATTAATGGAATACTTGACATGTTTTCATGCACTATTATTAATAACACTGGTAATGGAAAAGTTTTATTTTGTGAAAATTCAATTTTTACCATAAAAATTGTTATTGCGATTCAACTACTTCATCATACAGTGTAACTGTTATTTCTTCTGTCACGTATTTCAAAAACAAAGTTGAGGACATTGGAATACGAATATGTTGAAAGCATCATAGGTTTTCTTATGTCGAATTTTATAACTTCATTTTTATTTCTTATATTTTTAGTGAAACACTTTTAGAATGTATGGCATTCCAAACGGGAACCGCGGTTGGTTACCATGGATTTCCGTCACCGGTCACATTTTAAAGATTTTTAAAGCCTTATAAAAATATGCTTTGTAAATCATTTTTTGTAAATCGGCAAAAATTTGGTAATTTTCTTCAACTAATAAATCTGCGAATAGCATTTATAATACAAGAACAATCTTTTAAAATGCGTTTGATTCATTTTTGTATAATTTCATATAGGCACATATATTCTTCCGGGACTTTCCGTGATTTTACCGTAAAATCATTAGTTTACACCAATTTTCCCGTATTTTGAATAGTTTACTGCACTTTTTCCGTAAAATTGAGTTACGGGAATCCGCAAAATTTCCGGACCTCATTTTTCATAGAATATAATAATAATATTTGATAAAAAGATATATTATTTATATTTTTGATTTTTGAATTACGGAAAAAGTGAATTGTTAACTTGATTTTTTTATATGGTTAATTTTTCAAATGATATTATGAAGATCTAAAATATTAAAAGTAAAAAATTGAATTACGGAAAAAGTGAGGTCAAAAGTGAAATAAATTTGCAGAACAATTTTCATTGAAATAAGACATTGAGTATCACACTTTAGTGAATCAACATCTATAAGAATGAAGTGTTTTGAAGCTGAAATAATATTGAATAGAAATTAATTTTTTCTGAAATTTTGAATGAAATTATGGGAAATAAAAAAATTACTAAATATTGTATTCATACAAATATATTATTTTAAAGGAAAAATAGATGCTGATAGAAACGATGAAAAATTTTGAAAACTTTACAATTAATTTATGTTCGTTAACCACAGAGCTTGCAATCCAAAGCTCACGTTAGACTACAAGAGTCATGAAGTCTCATACTAAGGGATATCCAACATATATTTTAATAATCTAATGTTTGTGACAAATATTCAACATAAAATTAAGTTTTCGTTTCGTTACAAGGCATTCATACTTTGGAGATATCATATTTAATGTACAGAAAAGTTAATATTAAACAATACATGCTAAAGAATTAATAAATAAGATAATAAAATAAATTTATACGTAATTACTTTCATTTAATATGCTTTATGCTGTATAATATTGATTAAGAGGCATTAAAAGGTTCCATAGTCTGCTTTTATAGGCAAGATTTTTGATAAAAATTTAAAATTTTGAAAAATGATGAGAAAAGGAAAAAAAAGGTAAATGAGAGCAAGAGGAGGGAAAAAAAAGAAAAAGAAAAGAAAGGGAAGGGAAAAATAAAAGAAAGAAGGACATATAAAAATTTAGATGCGCATTCTTAATGCCGAGGCGGCTTGCCGCCGAGGCGCGATTTTTTTAGGCCTCTACGGTAACCCGGCAATGTTTTTTTAAATCTTGTACAGCCCTATTAGAATGTGAATAAATAAACTGATAGTACTCATTATATTCATGTGCTAAACTCAGATTTTGACTCTTGGTTATTTCACTTGGATTTAAGGGCATGATTAATTGGCAAAGAATTAATTACATATTCTTTACAGTTTCTTTCTATTGCATTAAAAGAAAACTAAATTGAGATTTTATAAATCAATTTATCCTTGGCATCAGAGTCTTAAAATAGTTATAATATATCATTTGAACGATGGTGAATAGGATATTATGTTATGCAATAAAAAGTTTGAAATAATTTTGCATTATTAAAGAATTTGCATAATCTTCAAATAGACACATAGAATAACAGCTTTGACTCTACACAATCATACATGTAATTTGTGTAGTGATTGTTCTTGCAATATAAACTCTTCAATCATGTTGCAGAATGAATTAACAACAAACAAACTATTTCATCCTTATTTTATATTCTAAAAAAGTGACAATTATAAATGTTTCTGATTTTATTTTCAAATCTATGCTTCTGTGAAGTTTTGAATAACGAAAATCATAAATATGACAATCTTACAGAAATTGAAAATTATGAATCAAACCTTACTGCAATAAATCAACAACTTCAAGATTTTAACGATTTTATCAAAAATCGCGAGGAATCAATTAAACAATTACGCCAACAAATAAACCAGAAAAAGTTAGATATTATAAAAGCAAATAAAGCTAATACAATACTTCCAGAAAAATATGATCCTGAAATTTTGAAAAATAAGCTTATAAGTAGCCTCCCTCGTACTGAATATACTAACTTTTCTCTCATTAAGATTGTTTCACCAAGTCAAACCTTGTCTTCCACCTTTTTTGACGGAATAAAGAAAAAAATACACCCAACGAAACCATTTAAAGGAATAGAATTAGGTTCAAACAGAAAATGGAATGTCAAGGGTACTACTGCATCCGCATTGTTCAGATCTGATGAAAAAACAAAATTTTCACTAATTAATTTTCCAAATATAACAAGAGAGATCTGCAATCCTCAAAATATCGCAGTAAAATTGATAAGTGAAAGCCATACGCCAAAGGTATATAATTATACTCTTCCATTTCTGGCAAATTCCGGATATAATATTTCTATTCAAGCACAATGGATTAGAGAGTTCGAAATTGTTGTCAACAAAAATTACGGAAATAAAACACATACATGCACTCCAGAAATTAAGCTATTTGGAGATATTTACATGCCTTCATCTTAAATCATTGAAATAACTGTATTTCTGTATCTTGTTAATAGTCTAATATCATTTCTATTTGAAAATGTAATAAAAAATTTGATTTATAAATTGACAATTTTTTTTTATTTAAGACAAAGGCCCACCCAATAGATGATTTAGCAAAGCAGCATTATAAAAATATATGTCTCAGTGTTCAAAAATCAATTAAATTATTCCTCAAATCTGTTTCTAATCATAGAATAAAAACTAATTATTTAATTAATTTATTCATTTTGCAAGCTGAAATTATTAATTAAAGCTGCGCTCACACCCATAAAGCATATTCTTCAAATTCCAGTGTTTAAGGTTAAAAATTCAATGATGCTTCACACCTGTTTATTGTAAAAAAAACTTTTTTGACTTATTGAGCCAAATGATAATTCACATTTTGGCCAATTGTTTGTTTAGAGTTAGGTCTTTCAATACTGTTTATCTCAAAGATTCTTTTGGAAAATTCATTCCAACATTTATCATTATTTATTAATTTGATAAAAGCTTTCATCCATTTGAAATCTTTAAACTGTGGTGGACGATTTTCCCAAGTTAGTTCATAATCAATTGTCAAAAACTCTTCGCATTGCTGCTTTGCGTTGTCACGAAAAGCTTGAAATACAAAATCATGAACATTCCAAGAATCAGCATCTTTTTTAGCTGTTTCCGCAGAATTAGTATTATTTTGGTTATTACTAGGAATTAAATCATTTAAATAACCAAAATAATTGTCTAAATTAAAACTGCCATTTTTAATGTCCGCGCTAATAAGATTTTTAAGAACATTTGCTAGCTCTTGAGCAATTTCTGTTTCTTCCTTAATAACTTTGAGATATTGTAGGAATTCGCCCAATTGAATATAGTAATTCTTTAAAATATCTTCCAATAATTGTTTGTTAAATCGTTCAATGTTCTTTGGTTTTATTGCATCCTCTAATAATTCCGAACTTTTTGCATCCTTTGAAACATTTTTCGTTTTGACCTGAACCAAATATCTTATTAATGGTTCATTATCCAAATTTAAACTCTTTGGAAAGATTACACCACGTACGGTATTATTGTCATCTTTTAGATTTGATAAGGTGTTTCTTTTGTATTGAAATTCATAATGATCTATTTCAACGATTCCATATGTTGATTTGTCGCTAGGGTCAATTGTAATATTTTCATATTTGCAGTCATCCATTTTCGTTTTATTGTAAAAATATATATAAGAATAGTCTTTTTCCTGATTCTCAGATGCTTGGAAGCTGGGAGTTTCCGAATTATAAGTATATATAGTCATAAAATAGTTTTAAAATAAAAAATCCACTATAAATCACCATAATTTTGAATTATTTCCCCCTAAATAAATTCTCTTCAAAAAAATATGGAAGATAATAAAAAACCAGCACGCGCTACAGCAATTATATTTTCGATGTTGAATCCAGCAACAAATTCTTATGATACTGTTGGTAAAGTTGTTTTAGTTGCTGCTAAAATTAAAGGTCAATTATCAATTTTAGCGATAAATAATGGTAAACCTTTCTTTATGATACCTGTAACACCAGAAGTGCAATGGGAAATTCAAAATAATGTATATTGTTCTTATGTTGATTCAAATAATCGAAGATGTTTAATGCAATTTCCGAATGTTATAGAGGCTAGAGCTTTCTCTGCCATTGCCCTATCTCAAAAACTTGACCATGGAGCTAAAACTGTCTGTCTAACTCGTGGAACTGGATCAGAATCAAAACTTACTGATTCTATTGTTGTTAACTACAAAGCTTATGATTGTCTGATGTCCGAAATATCAGAACCTATCCGTGAAGAAGAGAATTTCCAAATTTTACCCAACGAAGACTCTCCATTTCGTCCTTTAGCAGGGCAACCAGCTGGATCTGTATTTGCGGTCTCTTATGCACCTGGAGTTGTCGCAATTGCAGAAATAGTCGATCCTTTTGCATCAACAGCTTCTCTTCCGATGACATCAAATATGCCATCAGTTTCTTCAGCAAATTCCACTCCGCAATCATCCAAAACCGATAAAAGCCGTAAAAAGAACAAAAACAAATCAAATTCGAAAGCAAAAACTAATCCGAAATCTGATGATGGAATTTCTAAACAAATTCCAAAGCAAGAAGATCAGAAATTCGATGATCTACTAGAAGATATCATGAAAGAGATGAAAACATTATTCGATCGTACAGAATCAGAAGTTTCTGGCATTCATAATGCAGATCTTCTCAGTTCTTCATTAGAACCATCCACAGACACTCTCATTGCATCCCTACAAAGACTACAATGTCAGAACATGAAGAGGAGTGCCATTTTGGAAGAAAGAAACCTTTTAATTTCAACTTTAAACAGCAGGGAGGTTGATACTTCAGAAGTCGACAAAATCAGACGCCAAATTGGTGAATATTCAACACAGTTGTCGGCGAAGAAGGATCAGAACAAGAAACTCGAAAAAGCCATCGAACAATTAACAAATGAAATTAATGATGCGAACAACAGACTCGTACAAGCCCAGATTGATGCGGAAGTCGCCGTAAAGACAATGGAAAGTAATAAATCAATCCAGAGACTCGAAATGGAGTCAAAAATCGAAGATCTTAAATGGAATTTACAAAATGAGAAAGATGATGTCGAAAGTCTCAAGAAAGAACTCATGGAACAACAAAATGAGCAAAGAAGGATACTAGCTGCAAAAGAAGAAGATTATACCGATGAATTAAACCAGATGAAAAAACAATTGGAACAAGGGAAAGCAGCAATCAAAGAAAAATTTGTCAAAGCTGTCATTGGTGCTGTGAATCAAGGAATGAAGGCAAATGGAGAGTTTCCAACGCAAAATGTGATCCGAATTCTCGAACAAGCTATGATGAACCAATATAATAACCAATTTAACCCTCAGAATGACGACGATGATGAAGAGGATGATTATGATGAAGAGGAAGAAGAATAATTTTATTTATTCTTTTTTTATTTTTATTTGTTTATAAAATTTACATCTATCAGACAAGTCTTTTTTAATCACTTTCTCAAAAATGACAATCACATAAAAAATGATGATATTTTCGTAATTTTTTGCAAAAAAGTTAAAGAAATTCTTTAAAATTTGGTCATAGACAAGCTGATTCCAAATTTCCCAAATTTGTGTGAAATATGAAGTTAAACATTCATCATTTTGCACACGAAATATACGAATTATTTCTATTACATCGGTTATTGTCATAAATAACATGGAATATCTAATATACATATGAACTCATGAGTAATATAACATATTAATTTGAAGACGAAATCTCCTTTTTTTTTGAAAATATACGTTATTTTAGTTGTAAACTAATATTTACATGTCAAAAAAATATAGTTAAAATTTTAATTCGATGACTCAAACGACAAAGACAGAATATACTGGAGATACTCTTCTTAAATATGATCCTCCTGTTATAAATGAACTAACTTCAACAAAGAAAGTTAAAAAAGATCAAGCCCCAGTTCAAGCAAATCCGCAACAGTGGCTTGTAGACTACCTTGATCAAATATTCCCACCTAAAAAGTCAAATGATGGCACATTTGATTATATACAGCATGCTAGTACAGCATCTGCATCACGTTCTGATATTATTGCACTCGAAGAACAATTAGATCATTTATTAAAAGAAAAGAAAGCTAGAGCAACAGGTATCTGTCCAATAAGAGCTGAGCTATTTGATGATTGTTTTAATGAAATAATCAGACAAGTCGCCGTTGATTGTACAGAAAGAGCTACGTTACTTATAGATATTCGCAATGAAATACAAGAAACAATTAGTGGATATAAGAAACAATACGAATCAATTACAGCTCATGGAATTAGAGGAGCAATTCATAGAGAACAGAATAAAAATAATTTAATCAAAGAAAATGAAAAATTAGAAGCCGATATTAAAGCATTTGAAGACAAAATAGCTGATTTAAAGAAGAGAATGGCTGATGCAGACGCAAATGATATCGCTGACCAAAATGCAAAGAGAAAGGAGCACTCAGATAAGCTCGCTCAGTTACAGGCTGATAATGCAGCACTAAGAAAGAAGTTAGAAGACTTCTTGGTTTCCCCTGTCGTTATTGATGACAAACCACCAGCTAAGAAATAACTCATCTGTTTATCACTATTAATATTTATTAATTTATAAATCATTATTCATTCGCTATTATTTTATATAAAAATATTGTCATTATTTCACTAATTATACATTTTTATGAAGAAAGAATTAATGAAAACTTACAATTGTCCCTTGTATACATTTAACATTTGAGATTTTATGTTGAAATTGAATGATTCTGCATTCAAAAATTGCAATATGTATAAACCAATGAAATAATATGACTTGTCTAATCGTATATAACTAAATTACAATGCTAAACGATAGATATTGTGGGTTTTCTGATTTTGAAATTGAAAAAATATGATTTTACAAGAATTTGTTCCATATAATTTTATTTGCATTTATATTCCTTATTTGTTTTAATACATAAAAATCCGAATAAAAAAGATTTATACGATAAACGTTCAATGCTGGGAAAATCCCCTCCTGAAGCTATCCCTCTGCAAGAGCAGTTTGATAAGCCGCTAGAGGGTATTACTGAGACAAAATTCGAATCTGAAATGAAAGCCCAAGCGAAAATGGAGCAATTAGAACAAGATTTGAGTGCAAAAGATGATTGGACACGTCGTTCAACAGCAATTCTTGAAGCAATGAGTGTTCTCAAAGGCGGTATTGCGAGTTTTGGTATTGATTTTTCCAATTTGTCAACAGGAATTGCTTCATGTGTTTATGATTTACGATCAACACTAGTTAAAAACGGATCCCTACTTATTGCAGCCTGCGCACAGATATTAGGTGCATCTTATATTACTTCAACCGATGTAGTTTTGCCTGCTTTATCTAAACAACTCACACATGGCACTGCAATCATCAGTGACTCAGTACACTTAGCAATTCTTCAAATAGCAAAGCATGTGCAAAACAGAAAAGTCGTCAGAGCTATGCAAACTCTCGCAAATTCAAAATCTTCAATACAACGCGAAGTCGCAGCAGAAGCATTTCATTTAATCGTTACAAATTGGTCATCTACAGTCATTGCCAAGAATACACAAGACATTCGTGACTCATTAAACAAATTATCAAATGATGCGTCCCAAAATACGAGAAAAGCAGCCAGAGCGGCCTTAGAATGTTTCAGCGAAGACGAAGCAACACGCCGCACATCAACTCCTACCGTAAATATCAAATCTATGTCCGCTCCTTTATCATATGTTCCATCACCACCAACAAAAGAGAAAACAGCGAAGACATCGCTCGGAAAAGCTGCGGATTCAACAGATTCACTCATTTCGCAGCCTAAAACTGCAAGGGAAGTCAATAGAACACCTACAACAATAAGAAAGAAAATTGCGAAAACTCCGACGGTTTCTAGGACCAAGGAACCGTTAGACGATGGCTATCGATCGAAATTTTCGGCCGAAACATCGTTTGTTCCTGAAAATTCGCCTGTTCCTGGAAGAGACAACATTAGAGAGAGTTTCGACTTCAAGAAGGACATTTCGGAGGTAATGCCGCCTACTACGATGATAACCACGAAGCAGTTCTTAAGAATTCTGACCAAAATAATCGATGAAAATAATTGGGACGATATTAATGGTCTGGAGATGCTTTTGCCACCTAGTATTATAGCCGCTACACAGTTTATGCCCAATATAGCGGACTGGAAGTCGTTTTTGAAGGTATTTTATCGTAGATTTAAAGATGATTTCAAAGATGACACGAGATCCCTCATTGAAGCGTTCCATTTCGATAAGTGGCTGGTTGGTTTGGTATTAACAACTTACGGACAGGACTTTCTGTTTGAAATTTTCTCAGATATAACTCAATCTACCTTTGATTTCTATAATACATTGCTAAAGTTATATCCTGATCTTGAACTTAGCAGTAATAATATCGAAACTATCAAAAAACTTGTCAAAAACTTCGAAATTACTGATGATACAACTTATCTCCAAAAATTTATTCCATCAGAAAAAGTGACGCCCGTTGAAGAAAAAATTTCTCCTGTTTTAAGCGACAGATCATTTACGAAGAGTCCCAGATCGCCCAATGCTGCCAAATCTGTCGTAAATAACGCAATCAATGCTATTTATAACGGAGAAAACGGAAACCAGCAACTTTCAGAAATTATTAAGTTATTCAAGCATAATCGTGACTTAATTGCAGAGATTAATAAGCACCTGAATGATAAATTACCTTCTCTCCTTGAATCAGACAGCAAAGAAACAGTTGTCAATACATTAACTTTCATTATAAATTTAATGAACGAAAGTTCCGAATTTTTCCTTCCTGAGGCTCTAGAAGACATCATTTCTCTCGTGTGCACCCAAAGCAGAACAGTTTCTTCAAGAGCTTACGCTGCATTAACTGCAATTTCTGTAAATCAAGAACTACTTCTTAAAATGGTCAGTTCTATACCAGAAATGAATGGAAACCAAGAAGGAATCCTTGTCGCACTGCAAATGGCCCTTGAATGCTTCGGAGATATGGAAAGTGATTCATTATTACTTTACATCGACGTAGTTCCTAGTGTAATCGACTTTTGCTTGAAGAGTGATGTCACTGCTCATAGAAGAACTGCTGTAGAAATCGCTGCAGTGTTCAGACAAAAAGTTCCGGACGCATTTGCAAAATATTTCAGTACTTTATCACAGACCAACCAGAAATTGATTGAATTGAAGGTATCTAAGAGCAGATCTTCAAAACATTGATTTTATCGATTTTATATTTTTATTTTTTGTTTTTTATTTATATATAAATATTGTTTTTTATTCTTTCGCGATTAATATAAATAACTCTCATATGAATTTTATAAAAAATCAAATATAAATTTTTAATTTTCCATCCATGTAAACCTCGATGTCACTTTTGCGGCCTCTCTCCGCTCGGCCGCAAAAGTGACATCGAGGTTTACATGGATGGGTTCTATATATATACAGCTTGACCGGTAGAAAAGCGGATCGATTTTTATCAATAATTGGACATTCTATTTTTAATAAAATAAACATAATATTAATTTGCATCTTGAATGCATATAGGATATATAATAATTTTAAAACATCAAAAAGTGACAAATTGCGGTTAGAAAAAGTCATCAAAACACTTTTTAATGATTTGATTTAACATATGCATAGACCATCACTTTGATATTTAACTTCAATTTCCCGAAATGAAAAGGATTTGAACAAAAACGATTATTTTACGATCATTTTTTGTAAATTTTTTTAAATTGAGACTGACATCTCTAAAATCTTCTAAAAAATCCAAATATCAAATAAAATAATATTATTAAAATTCCTCTCAATTTAAAAAAATTTTATAAATTGAGACTTCAATCTCTAAAATCTTCTTAAAAATCCATATATCACAAAAACTCACAATATTATTTTTATTCTCAATTTCAAAATTTTTTTTGTACTGACTTTCTTTTTGCCTAACAGCAAGGCAGAAATTTGAAACGAAGTTTCAAATTTCTCAATCTTGCATTCTGGGCACGTAAGTGCCCAGAATGCTAAAAGGCGCGTAGCGCCGTCTCTGAATATCAAATTTTTTATAATTATTAATTTATGAAATTTCAAATAAAATCGATCTGTTATAACACACTGGTGCATGACAGCCTTGTCATTCATTTCTATCGGCGCGCTCCACGCGCCGATAGAAATGAATCATATATATAAGAAAGATTAGTACACATTTCAAAAAATATTGTAGAATCATAAAACATTTCTATATTTTATAAATTTAATATATGTTTGTATGGGAAATTCGAGAGATTCAAAACTCAAAAAATAAAACACAATAATTTTAGTGTATCATTATTCACATTAGTTTGTATATTAGTATTAACTCATTAATATTCATCAACTCCATGATTCAAATTTTTTGATGTGAATAAAATTCAATTATATTATAAATATTAGAGTATACATAGTATGTGAATACTGATATAAAAAAAAAAAAAAAAAAAAAAGGTAGTGGGGCTTCCAGGGGCTGCGCCCCTTCTAGCCCCGAAGATGTTTAGTAAAAAAATGAGGTTTTTATATACGGGTCTTCCAGGAGCTTTTCACAAAATATATATGTTTTCATGTTTTGTCACTTTTCTGTCACTTTTCAGGTAAAAACATTTTTATTATATATATAAAATGAATTTTACAAAACCACCGTTACCCTTCTTTGGAAATAAGAGTAGATGTAAAGATATTCTATTGAGAGAACTTAAGAAACTACCGAATGGTCTAACATTTGTAGATTTGTTCGGTGGAAGTTTCTATATATCTCATTTGTGCCATACTGTATTTCCTGACTCAAAGATTATATGCAATGACTTCGACAACTATATGAACCGTCTCAAACATATACCAGACACAAACAAAATATTGAAAGAGTTAAAAGAAAAGATACCTATAGGTAAGATGGAACGTATACCATTAGATAAGAAAAATACTGTCAGAGAGGTTTTGAAAAAAGCAGAGTATATTGACTGGGATAGTATATCTGCTAGACTATTATATAGTGGTGCTATAAGAGTTCATGACATTGAAACACTTATGTCAAAAGTTTTATATCTTAACTATACAAATGTTTTCAAAGAGGACATAGAAAAATATATTGAGGGTATAGAGTTTGTGAGATGTTATTGGACAGAGTTGTATGAAAAATATAAAGACAAGGAAAATGTTTTCTTTATAGTGGACCCGCCGTTCTATAACACATGGGATTTTCAATACCAAGTAGACTGGACTTTGAGAGACTCTTTAGAAACTTTAGACGTTTTACATAACCATCCATGCTTTTACTTTACATCCGATAAAAGTGGTTTGGAAACCGTTATGAGATGGTTAGAGGACATACATGACTATGAGTTTATATATGACAAGATAGAATATGAGAGAGGTCCTATAAACTGGAGAAAGTGTCATAACAAAGAAATTTTATTAGTAAGTAAATGTGGTTTGAAATAGGACTACTTGTTTTAGGTTTTTCCATTGTGTCATTTACTTATTTGACGTGGCAGAAAAGTACAGAGAATATGAAGATGAACCAATACCAGCAAATGTTCAGCATATGTACTCGTAAGAGATATTTTTATCTAATATTAAATGGACGCACAGAACTTAGCGAATGCACAGCAACCTGGACAACCAAACCCAGAGAATATTCCAAATGAAGTTAGAATACAAACTGCAATGGCAAACTATGGTCAAGTGCCAACAGATGTACAAATGCAAACTGCCATGTCAAATGACGCTGCGTTAGGCTTACCACATGGTATGCAAATATGAGATGGAAAGAGTTTTATACAAACCTGAAGTGGGATATAAACAACTCTATGCAGATGACGCGAACACAGGAGTTGACCCAGAATATGTTTTCTACCAGAGGAAAATAGAATGTATGAGCTCCAGTTAAAGAATGCAATGGAACTCAGAAGGAAACGTAAGAGACTAGGTGGACATTAGATTTTACATATAGTAAAATGGGTTTCTTCAGTAGTATTGGAAACTTCTTTCGAAATGTTGAAAGAGGTATATGGAATGGAATAAAATCTGTCGGAAGGGGAGTATGGAACGGAGTCAAAATATTGGCAAAAGAGTAGGTCAGTTCGTTGGTATTATACTAAAGACCCTGAACCAGAAGAACAAGCTTGTTATACAACAGCCTGAACCTGCACCACAGTCTAGTTGGCAACCAAATCCAACACCTCAACCGTATTAAAAATTATATTTTTACTGTTCGATAGTAGTTGTATATGAGACTAAGTTCTAAGTAAAACGCATGGTATAATGGAACTATTCTCTTTCTTCCATCTGTTGTAAACCATACTTGAAAGTCTGAAATACTTCCACTCGGTGGTTCATATAGCTTTGTAGGTTTTTCGTAAAAGTCATTTGCCAAGCATAAAAAAGAGTTTTGGGCGCCAGAAAATGAAGCATGAACGATAATAGCATCTGGGTCGAAAACATTTTCATATGTTCCATTAGGGTTTTTCGACTTCATAAAAGTTCGGGTGTACTGGATATTCTGCAGGCTGATTTAACATCCTCAAAATCTATACCATGCCAAGTTGTTTATATTTTGTAGAAATATAAACGTCTTCTCCAAGGTCTTCTATTCTATCGATTTTAACAGTTGCATTTTTCCTGTCATATAAAATATCGAGATGGTACTCTCCTTCGTCAATGTTGTACTGTTTTGCATATTCGAGATAGATATCGTTTATTTTTTCTTGAAAAGCTTGAAGAGTTGTTTCTAAGTTTACAAGCAAACTAACTTGTAAAAGTTTTCCCTGTTCAAATTTCTCATACGTACGTTTTTCTTTGTTATAGTATCGAACTTCAAAAGCGACCGTAAATGGGAAACCATGTATGGCTTCTGAAATGAACTTCATTCTACGAAAGCCAACAGCTTTTGTGACGGATGGGTCTCTTAGCCATCTCAATGGGTAGTCAAAACGATAGCCTTCATGCTTTACGGTCTCTGTCTCAAACTTTTGACCGACATTCGTAAAAAGTTCATCTAATGGTTTAGTTGTAGCAACTCTTGAATTTTCTTTTTCTATTGAAAGCATATTTTTATCTAGAATAAAAATGTCGAAAGAAACAGCGTCTATGAGAGAAATACAACACAACCGACAACTCATTGTGCAAGCTCTAAATAAGAACACAACAAACTTTTCAAACTATTCTAAGATATCTGAGTCATTGAAAGAAGGAAACTTAAAACTGACGATAAACCCATTGACAGACGAGTTTCTGTTTCAAGACAGTAAGAACCATACTGTTTGTATAAATCCAACAAAAAGAACTTTAAACGAGAAACCTATAGATGAACTTCTTTTGAAAGCAGATATTGACAACAAAGCTGACAAAGAGTATGTAGATGCAACAAGAGACTATATTCTCGCATGGACAGATAGAACATACCCACAAAAACATCATACACATAACATCTATGACGTAGATGAACTACCAGCAATGTTAGATGACAAAGCAGATAAAACATATGTTGACAATAAAATGTCAAGTGAAGTGACAAGAGCTGACAAAGAATATTCTAAAAAGACTCATACACATACCATTGCAATATTACAAACTTACAAGAAACCTTAAACAGGAAAAGTGACGTTGGACATACACACGATTTCTTCGCAACTGTTGGTATAGAAAATATTGAAGGAACGGTTGAAGAAACTGGTGGGGATGTATTAATTGGAAACCTCCTAACTTTCCACAAGGTTTAACATCGGATGAAGACATAACAACGATGAGATACATTAGATGTAGAGATGTTTATGTCATGGAGGATGAAAATAAAGTTAAATTCACTGCTCAAGATTTATATGACAAGAAAGCAGACAAAAAGAGCTTCAAACATTAAAGACAGAAATACTTCAAACCATTTACCCGGTTGGTTCTATTTATACGTCAATGAACTCTACCAGACCAGAAGTAGTACTTGGTTTTGGAACTTGGACTCAAATACTCGAAAGTTTTTTGTATTGTGCACACACTCCAAAGAAAACAGGTGGAAGTAAAACGATATCTGTCGACAACTTGCCACCACATAGTCATTCTGGTACAACAAACTTTTCTGGCGACCATAGCCACTCATTAAGAGACCACCCATTATACAACTCAGAGTATGAAGCTGGCTATGACGTTTTATCTCCAGATTATAACCATTCAGCAAAAAAGACTTTTCGACAAACTGA